ACGGGCTGATTGATGGTTCAGCAGATGCCAGTAAAGTCATAACTCTGCCCACCAGTTAGGAGGATCTTTCAGAAGGTCTAATAATCAGATTTTAAGATGGCCTTCAATGATCCCTAACTCCTGGAATTCATGCCCTTGTGTAAGTCCCTCCAATGGAGTATAGGCTGGACTTAATGACTCACTTCCAACAAATGGATAAGGCAAAAGTAGCAGTCTGTGGCTGAAGGGTCTATGTCATCAAAGGTTGTGTCATCACTTTCTCTCCTTTGTTAACACTCATTTGAAGGAAGCCATCACCATGTTATGATAAGAGCTCCGAGGGCAGGTCCACACAGTGAGGAACGAAGCACCTGTCTACAGCCCTGTGAGAGCTTAGAAGCAGGTCTTCAGCTGTCCAACACACAAATGTCTCAGCCCAGGTAACATCATAACTGCACTATTCCAAGAGCTCCTGAGACATCACACTATCCTGCCCCTGGATTTCTGCCCCTCAGATAATATGTGATAGTTGTTGTTTCAAGCTGCTAAATTCTGTTATACAGTAATAGGTAACTAATACCAGAAGTAGGGGTAGAGGATATGGGGAAAACATTTAAGCAAGAGTCCAATCATCATGAAAGAGGATAATCACTAAAAGCTAGTATGTTCAGGTACTTCATATTTTTTTAAAAAAGGTTTCTTAACTTGGTCACTTAGTGTGTAATGAATAATAGACTTTAAAATAAAAAGAAAGAAGAGAAAATGTCAATTTTTAAGAGATAAGCTTGCACAGGATACTAAAATGGCTTGAAACAATTTTATTGGCATTAAAAATTTTTATTTGGAATTTAATCCACAATCTATACAAGTTATTTACAAGGCATGAAAATGGAAAACAGCACAAAATACAATTGAGGTATAAGCTAAGAGCACAGTATGTCATGTTTCAATAAATATAATTCAAAATTTGTAAACTAAGTGACCAGATAGATGAGTCTTGTTTTATAGTAAAACCATATAAAATATCTATTTCATGTGAGGTAGAGGACAGTTTTGTGTCATGTAATACAACCAACCACAGCAATTTTAACCATAAAACTGTACATCATTGGCAAAATTTTATATTGAATTATGGTTAATGTAGTCAACAATTTGTTTCAACAGTTGCAGAACAAGTATTTCATTTACTGCCTTCACAAATTTAAAAATTCAGAAGTAATTTAAGACTACGGTGTTGGCTTAATATTATCAGGATAAAGAAATACTTATAACAGGATGGTTAAAAACAAGAATATTTTATTTCTCCCAAATTATAAATCCCCCAAAAGGTGTCCTAGATTTAGTAATTTAGTAGGACGTTTTTACTAGAACTACTTTAAGTATGCTGTGCTTTATTTTCAAGTTGAGGTATCTATATTGAAGAAAATCTTAAAAATTTTACATTCAACTAATTTAATACACTTTTGTTAACTGGGATTAACTTTTAAATTTCAGTTTTTACATTTGATCACTTTCTAATTCAAAAACAGTAGCACTATATAAGACATTTAATTATATTACTTAAAAAACAGGCCCCAATTGCATTATGTAGTTTAAAGCCATTTAAAATGGAAAGATTTTACAAACAAAACAAAAAGACTGTCCTTTTAAACAAGATGCAATATAGAATACCTATATAAATTTCCCAATGAAAATGCACAAGTATCCTATTCTAGAAAAAAATTAAGCTGCTTATTCAATCCCACAATATATAATACATCAGAAATGTGTCCCTTATTGCTGACAGCTTCAATTAAAAACTATTAACAAGTAGTTCCAAGCACAGAAATAGATGTACAGTCTGAGCACAGCTTTTCATTATTTTTAATGTCCTGTCTTGCACATTAAATTCATAAGACCAAATAAAAATGAGGATTGTTCCCTAAGTCTTTTCGTTAAAAAGAAAATTTTAGAGCTCATCCAAAGCCTTCAGCACCAGCTTTACAATTAATTTTAGGGAACTACCTTAAGCATGTTATTCATTTATCATTTTACTTTCCCTCAAACAGAGGCCACAGATGTGCAAATAAATTGGTGGTTCTGTTATGACTTCAAATGAATAATCTGCAAATTTGTACTCAGTCTATTTTATCTATTTTAGTAATTGGTTTTTAATTCAATATGTACAAATGATTTATATTCCAACTGGTAATATATTAAATATACTATAAAATTAGTTCAAGAAGCATGAAACATCCTAATTCTCATGGACACAGAAATTCAAGCAAAAGAATATGCTTTACAAACATAAAGCACAAGCCAAACTTATGTTGTCAGTCAAATCCTTTCATAGTGTTACAAGTTAATTTGTGAAATTAGGGTGGTTTCGAGCTTCCTCAATGACAGCAGATTTTACATTTACTACCTTTATAGATTTGGTACCTTTTCCTCATAGAGTACAGAAACTGTTATCACCCAAATTAAACATCACCTATCACCCAGTAAGCTAATATTCTGTGTTTCTTTCCTTCCTTCTAAAGATGCTTTAGCACTTTGATAGGCTGTTCCTTTAATGCAGCTTTTTAAAGTAACAATTTTATATTTTTCCTAAAAAGTGTTATGATAAAAATCTGAGGGAAAATCTGCTTGCCTAATGAATTAGCACGCAAAAAAACACCAAAACAAACTTTAAGATAGCAATCAACACGCAAAATGAGCATGCAAAGAATAGAAGAATAAGCTTATATGGATAAGATAATTTAGCAGAGGCCACTTTTAAAGCATTACAAAATCTCTGTATTTTCAAGTGATGGGGTACAGTTTAACTTAAAAATACTTTTCACCAGAATAAGTATATTTACAATTGACTAAAAAACTATATTCAAGGAAGTTAGACAGAAACCTATGGCAACATCAATGTATCTTAGGGAAAATGAAGACTATACATGTGACAAGTTTTTATTATGTGAAGGACCAAAAAAAAAAAAAAAAAAAAAAAATCACTCAATTCTAAAGTAAGGGTTTATGATCATTTACAAGTATTTAAGCACTATTTAGAATTTTATAGTAACATATTTCAAAAATTAAGCACTTTAGAAGTTTTGGGTTGAAACTTAAGCAAGCTCATCACTTACTAAGTAACATGAGTAGAAAGATTTTGAGTGAATTAGAATAAAAGAAAATTATAAGAGCTTAAGTTAAGTCACCCAAAAATCTTAGCTGTGACACAACTGATTCACAACTAAAATGAAACTTTATCATAAAATGTCTCTGTGATTTTTCTTTCTCCAATTTAAATAAAAAGTATTAGGAGGCTACGTCATTTTTAACATTGTTCTCGTATGTCATTTTTTAACATCTGTTCCTCCTTCAGGAGATTCCAAAAATCAACAAATTGCAGGATTAATATAGCAAAATTTAAATGGTAAATAGAAAATACACATTTAGTTCACACTAGTGAAAAAACTATACTTTGAGAATTATAAAATCCTTTTAGGATATATTAGTACCATTAAGTAAAATATGAAAATAACTGGTTAAATGATAACCTACTGATTTTTGAAGTTCTATACCATTACAGTACCTATCATCTATGCTGGGAATAGTATATAACCTTAGCTAATTTATTTTAAAAATAGATTTAGCTCTTCAAGTAATTTCATTCAGTACCTTAGGCAAGAACATGAGAAACATAAAATTCATGGGATAATAATGTCAATTAATAGTAGCTTCAGGAAACTTCCTTCAAAAAAATGCATACTAAAAATTTCACCTAATATCTCTTAAGCCAAGAATTAACTAATATGAACTTTGCCATTAATGAATGACACTTTTCTGTGCAAAAAGGAAAAGAAAAAAAAGTGCAGATGTTGCCCCTCTCCTAAACTATGGGATTCCTATCTCCTAAAAATTATCTAAAAATTCTTAGCATAAACTTTCCTATATTAATCTGTCACACACTCTATCAGTTGACTGTAAATTCCTGACTTTGTTATTAAGTAGTAATTGAAATGGTCCATTTGTGCAAATTTGTATAAGACTTAACATTTAAACATACAAAAGTCCAAAGTAACCTTCAAGACATTTAATATTTTACAACTTAAAGAAAAACAAAGGCAGTAAGGAAAATAAATCCATTTTATAAATTTCAGTAAGCCCCATAACTACATATAAAAACTGTACAGGAAGATTATGGATTGTATAGAAACCGATGTACATCAATGGTATCAGTTTTTCTCAAGAACAGTAACATTTCAACACCACTATTTAACATAAACATTTAACAAAGTTCAGAAATTTTTACATTTTTTTCTCTCCTAAAGTTGCTGCATAAAAAGTCTAAATATAACCATATTTAAAGCAAAAAAAAAAATAAAAATTTACAACTGTTTCTTGCGTTTAGCAGCAGGATTATAACAAAGCAAATTATCCTTCCCCATTATGCCCATGGGGTGAGTTATAACCTCAGCAATGAAATTCTTCTTTTGATAAAATGTCTCTCAGGAGACATTAATAAGAAAATTCATTCCGTAATAAGAACAAATACAAGCAAATTTTGTATATAATAATGAGTATAGCCTATCAACTTCAAAAGATTATATTAATGAAAAAAGGAGATTCAACCCCTTGAATATCTCCATATATTTGAAATATGACAACCACCATTGTATCTAAAATTGAGTCTTAAATATGGATCACAAAATTCACAACCATTTTTCATCACACAATGCAGCTTTTAAAAAGTATATAACTGTTAAATTTGCTTAGAAATATAGGCAGATTATCTAATAGTTGAAACCAGAGAGTATTGTTACTGAGCTGTTTGGGAGGGAAAAAAAGTAAAAAGAAACATACATTTTCATTCATTTGGAAATGTAAAAATTTATGTACTAATATATAATCTCTCCACTTTCTCTGATCTACAAATGGATAGAATGCCTAGTTATCTTCATGCAATTAAGCAGTTCAGAATTCAATTAGCAAAGCAAACAAACAAAAATGAACTCTTTCAGGAACACACAGATGAATCTCTTTAAAGGTTTCTATACTTTAGCAGTCTTTGATTTCAAAATTTGCAGCTCTAGCTCTTTTATCATCATCTCTAACTTCTGTCTTGCCTCCCGTTCCTGTCTGAGTTCATCTTGGAGTTCTTGTCTATCAGCCTCGGCATGGTCCAATCTCTGTCTTAGTTCTGCCAACTGTGTGATTTAAAAGACTTTGTCAGTTTTCATTGTTTTGTGTTTCCATTTAATCTTCACATCATGGCAAAGATGGTCTTCAAATTACTCTTTACAAAATGAACAATTTCATGCATATACAATACCTTGATTATCTAATACTATTGCTCTGATATTGACTGAGGGAAAAACAAAGGGTCAGGAGGACTGAACACATAGCGTATGCCCTACACTTTAGCATACCTCTCATCATCACAGCCTGCCCATGTCACATATTACTTGTTCATCTTCCCAAAGATGTGAGCTACTATTCATTTTTGCTCCCGGGCTTTTGAACATAGTGGTCAATAGCTCATGTTTGTTTGTTTTTTTATTTGAAAGCCAATATTTAAAAATAATGTAACACTTGATATTCAGATAGCTAAAAATTATCAATTTTGGCAACTACACTACAGAAACCCAATAAAAGTTTCAAGAAATAAATCAAGGTAAAAAAATCATCTTGGTTGATACCGCATAAAATTGTGTTTTTGAACAGAATTTTAAGTTTTGAAATCCCAATGAACTTGACAAAAAAAAAAAAATCTTTAACAGAGAAGGGAACAGCTTCAATTTCCACATTGAAAGGGCAACAGTATACAAACTGAATAATTCTTACCTGTGCTGCATATTCAGCCTCGTTGTCTTTTTCTAAATTTGAGTCGCAGGTACATTTTTGCTTCATTACCTGCTCTAATTTTTTCTCTAAGTCTTTCTGTTCAACGTAAAATTCTTTCATTTTTTGAGCATGCTCATTCTGCAAAGATTCAAGCTCTTTCTGTAAATTCTGCTGTTCTTCAGTGAGTTCCTTCATTGCTTTTGAGCTACTCAACATTTCAACTTCCTGTAATACACAGAATCACATTACAACTTGTACTTATTTCCATCCTGCTAAAAATTTCAATTCAAGAAAAAATACTACATAAAATATCTAAAATTCAGCTGTCCTATCAATTCTATGTAAAGGTAATTATCTTGAAAAGCTTTTCTCTAAAAATTTAAAATATTTAAATTGCTTATGAGTATAAAACAAAATAATCTTAAATTTGCAGCATCTCATCTTTTTTTTAAGAATATGCAAAAGTATCTTCATTAGGGCTATTAGATAACAATTTTACCATCTCAAGTTGTTGCTTCTTATGCAAAATTGAATTCAATTTTTCCTGTTGTTTTACATAAGTTCTCATTACTTCTTCCATGATTTTTCCTTTATCATCTTCACAAATGACATCTTTGACAAGAAGTGGAGATGAAGCTGCTGCATCATGGTCAATTCCCGCCTTGCTTGTGTCTCTGATTACGTTACAAGTGGTAGACTCAGGTTTCTTTTTACTTACAGAGTTATTTGAGATTGATGGATCTTTAAAAGGCAAAAATAAACAAAGTATGAATATCATTCTGCTAAAAGTCAGTAGGACAAACCATAAATGAAATTAAGAATAGGAAAAAAAATCCATTTACAAATGAAGTAAAAAAGAATAAAATATCTAGGAATAACTTTAACAAGAGTAGTACAAGAGTTGAACAACGAAAATGACAAAACATTAAAATTAAAGACTTAAATAAATAGCAAAGCATCCCATATGTTCATAGATTGGAAGACTTACTATTGTTAAGATGGTGTCATGAACTTAATGTTAGTGACTCCCACTTCACTATCCCAGCATTCATATTGAAATCCAAACCCCTGATGTGATGTATTAGGAAATGGGGCTTTAGGAAGGTAATTATAAGGTCATAAGGGGAGAGCCTCCATGCCAGGATTTATGCCATCATAAGAGTCTCCAGAGAGCTCTCCCATTCTTTCCACCATGTGAGAACCCAGTGAGAAGATGGCTAACTGTGAACCAAAAAGTAGGACCTTGCCAGGCACCAAATCTGCTAATTTCTTTTTTTATATATATATTTTTATTGATTTTTTACAGAGAGGAAGGGAAAGAGAGAGCTAGAAATGTCGATGAGAGAGAAACACCGAACAGTTGCCTCTTGCACACCCCCTACTGGGGATATGCCCACAACCAACGTATTAATACATGCCCCTGACCGGAATCGAACCTGGGACCTTTCAGTGTACATGCCCTGACCAGAATTGAACCTGGGACCTTTCAGTCCACAGACCGACGCTCTACAACTAAGCCAAACCGGTTTCGGCTGCTAATTTCTTGACCTTAGACATTCCAGCATCTAGAAGCATGGAAAATAAATGTTTTGGTATAAACCACCCAGCTTATGATATTTTTATTATAGCAGCTCAAATGGAATAAGATAGCTGGTAATAACAAATTAATCTGCTTTTTCAATGCAATACTTATCAAAATCCCAGTGAAAATGGACAAGCTGATTCTAAAATTCATATGGAAATGCAAGGAATTCAAAGTAGCCAAAATATCTTTAAAAAAAGTATCAAAGTAAGAACTCATAATTCCCAATTTCAAAACTTATTACAGAGCTATGGAAATCAAGATGGTGAAATAAGCCAGACAACAAAAGGTCTCATGTTGTATCACCCTTTTTATATGAAATGTTAGGATAGGCAAATCCATAAAGACAGGAATTTACTAAAAAGCCATTGTACTGTACATGTAAGCGTAAATTTAAGTTAAATGAATTATATCTCAATAAATTTTTAACAGTCACTAGAATTCACTAATTTGGGAAATAAAATATAATGCAAATAGAGCACAATGGTACACTAGTAATTATGTACCATATTTAAATCCAAAGAACCTAAGTTTTAAAATTCTCAAAATTAAAGAATTTCAATTATGTATGAAAAGTTAAATGACTACAGATCCTTCAACGGCTCCCACAAAGCTGAAATAACTGTCACATTTCCCTAAGCTATAAGCAAAGCTCTGCTGCTACATGGAGGGTAACAAGGCAGCATTTGAGTGACATATCTTGTTTGGTCCGGTGTTATAAAAGGCACTGTAACTAGGCAGCTTTTTTTTTTTTTTTTTTTTTAAGATGTCCAGCCAATATTCTGCATTTGTGCCATCTGCCTGGTTCCCACAGTTACAAGTTTTCAATCTTTCTTTATTCTATGACTAAGTTTCCCTGAGTTCTATCCCTAAATACACTTACATATACTTCTTAGCATTATAAGTTAAATGGTTTCTCAGTTCACAGAAAATTAAAAAGAAAAATAAGAATCTTTTGAAGAAATTTGACAGCAAAGAAAAGGCAGGAAGGGGGAAAAATAATCAGACAAAAATCACTTGCAAGCAGGAAGCTATGTAACCTATATATCTATCTCATTAGCCTCTATAGCTATCACCATTCTAGAAAAGTACAGCAATTATGTTCTAAGAAGTCACTCAACATTTTTTACAATAAAAACCCCAATTATCTGAAAAAACCCCTAACAGAAATCCTCTTCGAAAAATCAAATATCTAACGCTTTTTTAATACTGAATTTAAATATAAGAATACTTACCTAAATGTCTACGTAACTCTCTACTTGTTTTTAAATCCATTTTCTCCTGTTCCTCCAGTGAGACATCTGGATAAGACACTGTTTTTTGATGTTTTCCACTACTGTAAGGCTTCTCTGACTGTCTTGGTATGGATTTACCTGCCTCTGTCTTTGTGACCTCTTTAGACTGGGATACAGCAGAAGTGAGTGACACATTTGGGGCAACCACTTTATCACACATGTATAAGTAGTAGCTGAAAACAAAGAAAGGCATAATAAGACACATTACATTTAGGTAAAAAGCAAAATGTGTTATATCTATTTCTATGATTAAATAATTTTTTCCACCAAAACAGACACCATAACAACTAAGAAAACAAGGGTCACAGAAAAGAATTTTTGAAAAAGTCAGTATTTTAGGCAGTAAAAGCAGAATCATGGAGAAATTTTTGTTATTTTTCAAAAAACAATTTCTAAGCACTAAAAAGGATACTCACTAGGAAAGAAAATCAGTTTTCTCTCCTTCCCTCAATACCACCTGAAAACTAAAAGCATGAAGCACTTTAACAGGTCTGTTTACAGCCCCAAGTAAGTAAAGTTTATTCAGAAAGAAAACACTATATGCTACTTTGGAGGACTGTTTTCTTGCCCATCTCTCCTCTAAAGCAACAAATCCTTGTTCTTTGTTATGATGAGGCTGATTCAGCCCCACACTACTTGGCTATGGCCTGTTTCACTATAGGCCAATGGAGCTCAGAGGGCCCTTCTGTCTTAAAAAGCTTAAAAAAGGAGAGAACAGGCATTCTGAATGTATCAAATGCCACAAAGCAATCTTCCTAAAATACTTCCTATGTATTTGATAAACAGTAACAGTAAATTGTGCAAAACTAAGATCAAAGGGATATCTACCAATTTTGCTCCAAGTTCACATAAAATTGTTCAGTACATTATCTGAGAGACTCATGGAATAGAGATGAGCTAAATATTTAAGTATCACATTAACTATAATCTTTATAACCTCTAGCCAAAAGATACAACCATTTAACTGACATAATACTTTATTCTCTAAACTAAGCATGTCAAACTCAAAGGCAACAGGAGCCAAATAAACAAGGTATAAGTTTATTGGGGCCGCAAAAAACCAAAAGCTTCAATTTTCAGAGAAAAGTAGGTTTATTTCGATAGAGACATGCTGAATACAAAGGGCTGAAATAAATGAGTAATTGTTAACATAATAGGACATTTTAATAAGTTAATATTTTTTCTTAAACATTACCAGACACTGAATCACTGCACAAATTAACAAGCATAAGCAAATAAACCTTTTTTTTTTGTTCTCCAAAAGCGAACATTTCCTGTTGCGACACCAAACAAGTTAGTCCAAGACTAATAACGTGGTAATTGGCTGCTAATATCAGTGGAGAGAAATGGTGGGCTGGTGTATAAGGAAAATGAATGCAATATGATTATAGTAATCAGTCATAGCAAAAGTTGTAGTTTGTTATTAATAATGATATATAACAATATTGTAAGTTATGAAATTTTTATTAAAACGCTTCTTACATATTTTTATTTTGGCTGGGCTGCAAAAATATTTGTTGTGGACTACATGCAGCCTGCGAGCCACAAGTTTGACATGCTTACTCTAAATTCTAAATAATTTCTTATATCTCATTGTATAGGACACATCTATTTTCTTTTTACCAATTACATTAATTCTAAGGATGAAAATTTAATATTCTGCTAAAAATACTGATAGGTTTAATAATACCCAAAGATTTCAAAAACAGTAAGAACATAAAAATTGTGCAAATATAAATAAGACTAAGATTCTACATTACCATGCTTGTGGAGAATACTAGTATAAATATTTATAGTAGCAGATAAAACTTTAGGACTGAATAAATAAGAAGCATTCTTATTGAAAATGTGAAAACTTTACTTTGAGAGATGCAGTTACTATGAAAGCATCTAAGTTTCAAAAAGATTTCTTTTTAAAAATCAAACTTTTGAAGAGTGATTTACCTCCTGAAGAGAAGTAAGGAAATTAAAAGAAAACTTTCGTTTTTACTTCAGGGCAAAAAAGAAATGACCTATTTCTAGGAAAAAACATAGAAATACAAGAAAGGTTATTTTAGACCCAGCTGGGTAACTCGGTTAGAACATCATCTTGATACATCAAGGTTGCAGGTTAAATCTCCGGTCAGGGCACATGCAAGAAGCAACCAATGAATGCATAAAAAGTGGAATAACACATCAATGTTTCTCTCTTTCTCTTTCTCTTCCCCTCGCTCACTAAAATCAATAAGTAAAAATTTTAAAATTTTTAAAAGGTTACTGTAAATGTTCAACACAATTTACAATTCATTTCATTGATTAACAAGAAAGCCTAAAGCTATATCATGAATTTCCCAGGGCCTTAAATAGCAACTGACATATTGAGGAAGGAAAGAAAGAAGGGAGAGAGGGAGGGAGGAAGGAAGAAGGTAGGAATGGAGGAAGAGAGGATTAATGAGACAATACTCAACTCACCTGGGGTGTAAAAATGAATGTGTCTGAGTAACATGATCACTTTCCTGCTTTATAACAGGATACCATGACGGTAATTCCATTCCTGATGGTGTATCTATCTGTAGAAAAATGTAGAAGGGAAGATTATTGGGAGGTGTGATGGTTAAAATTTTAAAGTGTCAACTTCACAGGGTCATAGCGTGACTCGGGAGAACCTTGCGAAAGAAGCGTTACATTAAGAGTCATCTTCTAATAAAGTAATGCTTTCCTTAAAGTACCATGCCTAGTTACTTGAAACTCAAAGAGGCTGCTATATGATCTATTCCATTGCAAACAGTTTCAGTATGCATGTTAATAGGAATTGCCAGAAGTAATTTCATCCAATTTCATACTTACAACATCTGTTTTTAAAATCCATTTTAGCCCTGGCTGGATGGCTCAGTTGGTTAAAGCATCACTCCATATACCAAAAGATTACGGGCTCCATCTCCAATAGGGTGAGTAAGAAAGGCAACCAATCAATGTTTCTGTCTCTTTCTCCCTCTCCCCCTCCCTTTTCGTCTTTCTCCCTCTCTCCATCCCTCTCTAAAATCAATAAACATATCCTTTGATGAGGACTTTTAAAACTTTAAAATCCATTTTAAATAACAGTACCCTACAAATGTATAGAATTTATAGGTTCTGATTCTTCTTCACTGCTACAATCAGCTAAAATATAACCCATCCATATAAATATAGTATTTGTTAGTGTAGAGATAACATTCTACAGCAATAAATACCTTGCCAAACTAAACGTGAAATTACTTTGTCTGCCAACACTTATCAGTAAACCATATTTCCTCATAAACTGTATCTGTCAATAAAGAGAAAGGAGAATATACCTGACTTAATAATATATATATTATCAGGGCAGATTAGAAAACAGATTCAGAAACTGAGACAAGAATAACCTGTGTTACTAATTTCTCTTATTCAGGTTTGCTTTGCAATCTTCCCTTCCTATTTAATATTATAGTAATTACCTTGCTCTTTTGGGAAAAGGGTTCTTTGAAAGGGGTTAAGACTCGCTAAAGGAGAAGGAGGGGAAAAAGCTGAAAGAAGCCCTGTTCAAGTGAGCAACAAAGATAGGAGGTTAACAGACAAACCTAGTGGGGTGAGGGAGAAGGGAGCTGGGGATGAAATACAGAAGGGAGGATGAGACAAAAAGGAGAGCTGGATATTCTGACCCTGCCTAGTTAACTCTGCAACGAGGTAAGGTATGCGGAGAATGGCACCCTCATTTGAGAATGCATAAACACTGCACTCAGGGGATAGCCACTAAATACCAAGAATTAAAAAAACTATTTTGCCTGACGTCCTAATATTCCAGTTCAGAACCAAGAAACTAAGTACAGAATGGAAACATATCCAGATGCTAAGCAGTTGTAATTAAAGCATAACCAAATTCATAAATTGTCCATGGTTTGATTATGGAGATCCTGTTAATGGAGGCAACCAAAGCAGATTGAAAAGACTCAAGAAAGGAAAGGCCTGATAAGTAACCCACTGCCCCAACACAACGAGCTCAAAACAGAAAGGAAACCACTTTTGGATTATACATTATACAACTCGACCAATTAGAAAATGATATAGGCCAATTAAAAGCCAAAAACAAAAATATGGTTATTTGTATTGGTAGATCAACATTTTTGTTAAGAATTTACTGGGCCAGCCCTGGCTGGTGTGGTTCAGTTGGTTGGGCATCATTCCATGCATAGAAAAGTTGCCGGTTTGATTCACAGTCAAGGCAGATGCCCAGGTTTAGGAATCGATACCAGGTAGGGAGGTGGAGGCATGGGGGGGAGGCCATAGAGGAGGCCTGATCAATGTTTTCCCTTTCACCATTAACACTTATTTCTCTCTTTTTCTCTAGCTCCCTTCCTCTCTCTCTAAAAATCAATTTTTACATCTTAAAAAAAATTACCTGGAAAGGAATATGAAAGACTAAGACCATAAGATTATAGGAAAAATAATGATTTTGAAAGGATTTAAGAGTTACACATTCCCTGGGGCCTCTGGACTCTATATGAGTAGAATTTTTTTTAAAAACCCACAATCCTGATCAAATATTCTAAAAAAAAGTTGAGAATCTGGGGCAAAATCAACTATTTATTAATAAAATAAACCAATCATTTTTTTACACAGTTTCTTGGCCTACAGCTTAGTTGTACTAGTAAGTTACAAAGGGAACTGACTGCTGGCAACAGAAATACTAAATGATAGGTGACAACTGACAGCCTAAAGAGATGAGTTAGAAAATGTAAATATAAAAACTGTTCAAAAAGCAATGCAGTTTGAGGACTTTACCATAGGTCAGGGCAAATAATTTAATGTATCTCAATTGTCCCTTACCCTCATCACAACATAGTAACTGAAGTTTACGAAGACTTGAGTCAACATGACATAATTAATTTATATTTTATATTATCTATATACAGCGAGTGGCCAGATTACTATGATCTCTGAACGCATAATAATCTGGCCACTCAGTGTACTTCTCTTGGCTACCTCATTTATTTGATATCAAAGATACTATAAATCATGCACCTGATCAGTTTTCCCCTTTGCACTGGATGATAGAAAGCTCAGGGCAAATAGGTGGTTGATCTCCAGCAAAAGTCTAGAACACTTTTGGTACCCATTTGAGATACAAATACACTGAGTGGCCAGATTATTATGCGTTCAGAGATCATAATAATCTGGCCACTCAGTGTATATAAAAGCCTAGGTGACTGTTACGCCTAAACGACCAGTCGACCAATCGCTATGATGCACACTGACCACCACAGAGGGAGCACTGCTCAGCTAGAAGTCAGGCCCATGACTGGCTGGCTGGCCAGCAGAGCTGCAGTGGCAGGAGCCTCTCCCAACTCTGTGGCAGTGCTACTGAGCAGTGGCCACAGGCGCAAGCATACCAGGATGAGTGAGCGAGCTCCTCCCTGGCCGCCTGCCATTTGGCACACTGCTACATCCCCTGAAGGGTACCAGATTGTGAGAGTGCGCAGGCCAGGCTGGGGCTACTCCTCCCACCCCCCACCCCCCCGAAAAAATCCAAGCATCAGGCCTCTAGTACTATATATAAATAGCTTACCACATACATATATAGCATACCACATGCCATGTGAAAAGATTGAAAATTATTTGACATTTTAGGAATCCTCAATAAAATTAAAGTTTTAAAAAACATGGTTAATGCTGAAAAAAGTAGCTTCATTACTTTAGAATATTCACTTAGGGAGAACATTTGTCACCCCCAACACTGTATAATAAAAGAGGTGTTAATTAGCATGAATAGCTCATGCTAACAAATCAATGAAATATAAGATCCACTTCAATTAAGTGAGAATTTCTTTTTATATATATATATATATTTTTTTTTTTTATTGATTTCAGAGAGGAAGGGAGAGGGAAAGAGAATCATTGATTGGCTGCCTCCTGCACGCCTGCCACTGGGGATTGAACCCACAACCTGGGCATGTGCCCTTGACCGAAATCAAACCCAGGACCCCTCAGTCCAGAGGCTGATGCTCAATCCACTGAACTAAACCTGCCAGGGCTAAAGAGAATGTCTTTACCCTGGCAGGTTTGGCTCAGTGGATAGCGCATCGTCCTGAGGACTGAAGGGTCCTGGTTTTGATTCCAGTCAAGGGCAAATACCTCAGTTGCAGGCTCGGATCCCCGGCCCTGATTAGGCTCGGGTGGAAGGCAACCAATCAATGTGAGACATCTCAAATTGAAGTTTCTTTCTCTCTCTGTATCTCTCCCTCTCTTCCACCCTCTAAATATCAATCCTATCCTATATAATAAAAAACCTAATATGTAAATTATCCCCTCTACCAGGAGTTCAACTGGGAGTTTGACCAGTGGGTGGGGCCAACCCGTCAACCGCCCACGGCCCCTCCCCCTGGCCAACCCCTCCCAGCTGGGCCTCTAGTGAAAAAATATCCTCAGGTGAGGATTAACAAAAAAGAGTGCAAGATTCTCTTCTCTAGAAGTCACTGGTTAAACTCATTATTTAGAAATATATATATAACAAAGCAAGCTCTGTTCCACTTTTATAATTGAAACAATCTTGGGTGTACTACTCAAGAAATCAATTATCAGATTTTTAAAATTAAGAACTAAAAATGGATTCACATATTCAAAAATTTTCCTATTATGGATATTTGGAATCTTCAATCTTCAGAAAAGCAAATTCTAAACTTCTTCAGCCAAAGATCTTGACTTTGCAGCACTATTCATAGACAAACATTCAAATTTGTACTTAAAAAAAAAAAAAAAAACACTTTAAAATTCCTAGACTTATCTTCAATAATAACCTAACTCAATTTTGATCATTTCAAAACTCTACAGCTTGATTTGTATACGTCTTGCTTTTATTCATGACCCAAACTCAGTTTATCTTTATTTCTATGATGCCTCTACACTTCAGATATCACCTTAGAAAACTGTTTGTGCGTTCATACAGTGTGGGGCAAATGTAGGTCTACAGTTGTTCATATGGAAAATACAAGAATAAATTTTCATATACTCACAGCTATAAACCTACCTTTGCTCTACCCTGTATTTTTAAACATCCATCCCTCTCCAGTTTCTGTTCTTAGTCTCAAAAACTGTCTTATTTGATTTCCCATTCTCACACAATCCCACAAACTAGGGATTCTTACAAAAAAAAAAAAAATCTTCCTTAACAATCCCTCAGCCAATGTCTGAATTCCCTATGCAAAATCTGTGATATCCAGTCTCTGCTTGATCCAGTCCTTGGAGGCAAGGACTGTTGTATTTACTCATATTTCAGTACGTAGCACCATGCCTGGCATGTAGTAGGGATTCGATAAATATTTGTTGAATGAATTCTGAATGACAACGTAGCTCATTAATACCCAGGGTGACCATATATAAGGTAACTGTGCTACCAAGAAATTTACAAATAATCGTTTACACATTCTATATCCTACTCCATGAAGTACCAAAGAAGCCAAAGATCTCTGGGATGTATTTTTAGAGATCAGATCTACAAATTAAATAATATAAGTAATGGAAAAATAGACATTAACCAAAATAAAATGTTGTGAATTCA